TGAAACCACCAGACCTTTCACCTCAATGATCATTGGGGTATTGTTCTGTTCATAAGAATCAACCAACATGTCCAAAATAAACCTTAAGGGTTACGCATTTCAAATTTTGCAATTACTATATATATATATAAAAATTCCATTTTTTGCCATCAGTAAGGAGAGTTGTACAAATAATGTGAATACACAGAACCCCGATCCAATTCATCTTTTGCTAAAAATATTTATCATTTTCTGTTTTATATCTCCTAACATCATTCCATTTTTCTCTAATTTCGTTTCAAATATGCCAAAACCTGCAGTAAAAATAGATGTATGCCCCAAATAAACATTCCCCGATTGGTTGAAATACTATGGCGTCGATGTAAAGCAACGAAAGCCTCGATGTAAAGCAACGCAAGCCTCGATGTAAAGCACACGCTTCCCAAGAGTAAGGAGAGTTGTACAAATAATGTGAATTCACAGACCCCCGATCCAATTTATCTTTTGCTAAAAGTGTTCATCATTTTCTGTTCTGTATTTACCAACAACATTCCATTTTTCTATAATCCCGATTTAAACATGTCGAAACCTGCAGTAAAAATAGATGTATTCCCCAAGTAAACATTCCCCGATTGGTTGAAAAGCTGTGGCCTCGATCTAAAGCAACGCAAGCACACGCAAAAATTTCCGTTGAAATGTTGAACTTCGACCCCGAGCCGATTCACATAGAGATTTTCTTGCGCTCAAATGTAATTCTAAGTAAGGTATACTGGTAAAGTAAAATTATGTTCTTTTACAGAAATATTTACACATTTTATTATTAATGTATTGTCATGCTTCTGCATATTTACGCTGAGCTTTAGTTAAATATAATTCTATACAAATTTTGTTACGTCAAGCATTAAGAGTAAGAATATATTTCGCGCCAAAACCAGAAAATAATCTGTGTCACCAAATAAGTTTGTCAGCATCTTTCTGAAATTTTCCAACAGAAAATAGCGTTAATTATAGAGAAATTTTGGTGAGTATTACTTATTGATGTTAAGGTTCTCCAGAGGTGGTTCTCTACACCTTCTTGGCGGTCAATTTAATCCCATTTATCAATTATCCCCGATGGCGATGACATCCAGTCGATATTGTGTCATGAGTGAAAATCTTATCTATTTGATGAAATAACTTCTTCATTAACTGTACATGCAATATTTTTGTAGTTTTTGATAACCGTGTACATTCCCATTGCATGTCCGCAAGATAAATGGGTTATGCATTTGTGAATTGTGTAAGTACAGTTAATATTGTGTGATAAACAATGGGTCGTAAAAGTGGGTGTCCCCAAAGCGTATTTGATTGAATTTGGCTTTATTTCCATGTTTCGGACGACATTTTCCGCCTTTAGGAATTCTTACCCCAGAAATTCTTTACCCTCCCGCTGTAGTACTATCCAATAGCTATTCATTAAAGCAGAGTCTATAATCCCTAGCCATACAGAACTGCCGAGGCAATGGGTCGGAAATGTGAGTTATGAAGTTGTATCGTCGGTATACAACTACCATGAAAATTTTTTATTTTACATCAAAATTCAATGTTTTTAGTCGTTTATATGAGTTTTGAAAATTGCAAATGTGGGTTAAACATGCGTTAATACGAATCACATCCTGGACTTAACAGATATACTGTGTTTGAATCGTCGTCAGAATTTATTTATTGTAAATGCTAATTACAAAATCGTAAATATGAGTTAGAAATCTACAAACTAAAGTTCGAATTTTGTTAATGGGATATAAAAATCTTTGATTTACTATATAAATCTTGTTTTCGAACAAAAATGTCAAAAACTATGATTTTAAAGAAAAATAAAATTGTCGCTCAAGTAGTTTTCCAAACGCAATTGCAGGATGACGAATTGCGGGATAGCTTTTCATAAAGAGAATTGCAGGAAGTGAATTGCTGGATAGCTTGACACTAGTGACGTACAGTTGAAATTGTGTAATGTTAAGCTAAGATAGCACGTTGTTATATCATTAGAATGTCACGATGCTTACCACACGATATGCTCAATTAGAACTACATGACGTACAGTTGAAACTAGGTGATGTTATGCTAAGATAGCATGTTGTTATATCATTTGAATGTCACGATAGGCTTACCATAGAATATGTTCATTCAGCTTAGCATATTGTAATTTAGAGTTAGCATTTTGATGACTCAATTCAACATCACGCTGTCTTAAGTTTACATTTTAAGCTTCAGCATAATGTTTTGTAAATCTCTAATATATGACAGCTTAGGCTTTCTATAATAGTGGTTTAGAGGTCGAACCTGGTCGAATTTTTCTTTGGCGAGTTAAAGAAATTTCTTTTTTATCGAGATTCAAAGTAGTGTAATCATATTTTATGCCAAAATAATTATAGAATAACTAATCGAAGAATTCAAATAGAGAAAAATATTCAACGAGTGACCGAACAACACATTATTCACGAATGCGCGTAGCGCATGAGTTAATTATCAGTGTTGTTCGGTCACGAGTTGAATATTTTTCGATATTTAAATTCTTTGATTAGTTATTCTTTTTATTACATTGGCAAAGGGCTTTTTTTTTTTAAATTAATGTAGAAAATGTAAGGAACTATATCTTTTTTCTACGCATTCACAATTTGTTTTGATCCGACGTTATCGACGTCTTGACAACGCCTATTGTTGTATGACGTCAGAGAGTGAAATAACCACGTTTATTTCACATGTTTTCACATGTGAAATTATCGGTTTTTATTTGACTGGGAAATCAATGTAATTCATTGCTACCAATGTAATAAAAGAACTTATTATTTTTTTAGAAAAGAAAAGAAAAAAGATTTTTACAAGTGTTGAAACTTTCTGTCGTTACGGTAACACGAAGTTTCAGAAAATAAAGAGAAAAAAGGAATACATTATACATTCTATACACCTTTCCGCTTACCATTTTTGTGCTTGTTTTGCAATTAAATAGCTGGTGGTATAATCTGATTGTCGATTTCATTTTTGAAGCAAACAATATATAGATAATTAAGCGTTATAATTGCCATGATAAAATGAAAATATAGGAGTTTTGTCCTGTGTCATTCATGGTTTTTCCCTTCTTCTTACAATTGTGTTAGAGGTGTGATTCGTACTATAAATACAGCTACATATCCCTCCGTAAGTCTGACCGCGTTCATGATCAGTAATTGTCAACGTACTTTAGTGTACTTTATTTTTATAACTCCTTTGGTTTGGTATGAAACCAGTTGTGTGTATTTTCTATTACAGTAATTGATTACATGATCGTTGATTTCACAACGTTCAGTGGCAAATATTTGATGCATATTCAGGACTAATAAGAACAATGTAAACATTGATCAATCTTTAGGCGTAGAAAATATTTACGAATATAGGAGAAAAAATACAAACTCCCATGCATTCAACGCTTTTCAACACAGATTATGTGTAATGAGGTTATCTAAATCGGGTATTTTCTACATTTCTTAACTAAAGAAAATAACAATAAATATGTTTTTTTAGTTGTCTATTTGTCTATCACAAGTCCGTTTCCCGGTTTTTTTTTCACATGTAGGCTAAACGCAATAAAGATAAAAGCTTAAAAAATAATTATTTCATAATTTCACTCATTCAAGATTTGTTTTACTGCATGAATTAATTAATAAATTAGATATATTCAATCATTTTGGTTTTGACAGAGTTTATACCATAACATATTTGTCTCAGTACCTGATGGTCACATGAACATGAGGGTATTCCATCAAGAATATACAATATACAAGGTTGTCGGGTAAATGTAGATTGCGGATAAAGAAGTTGGATATCAAACTTGAATAAACAAACTGAGGCCAATTTAACACGGATATGTATTTTCTCTTCAACAATATTTTAATTCTCTGATCTTTATTTTCATTTAAACTAGGTTAATACATTTTATGGCATATAAAATAAAAAAATAAACATCAGATGTATTTGAAGGCATTTTGTAAATAAAGTAAAGGGTCAGGCAAATATATCAAGTATTCCGTTTTAGAAAGTTTTTATATATGATTTTTTTTACTTGAAATTGTGTTTACGGGTTTTAAGTTATTTTACAATTATTGATTTTCTGATAAAATAGTTAAATTTGTGGTATTATCATAATAATTCTTTAATTTATTTAAAATAAACATTTAACACTTTCTCGGATTAACTTTTCATCGTGTTCATGATAACTTTGTTAACCCTCTATGATTATTAAAAAATGACTGATTTTTTTTACCAAGGGTGTATTTTTGTTCCGTTACTGAGGATATTTTTGTCCTTTATGAATCCATAGGAGAAATTTGACTCCAATATGATATATTTTGTCTCATATTAATAAATGGTAGTTTTATCCGATAAATTTTTATCAGTTATAGTCGTTATTTTGATAAATTCAATAATTCATTGAAGTTTCGTATGCATCTATGAAGATAAAAAAATCCCGTGCAGCAATTTTCTCCAGGAACGCTCAAAGCAAAATATTTGAAAGCCAAAGAATGCATAAAAAAGATAGGAGTGAAGAGGTTTATGACCAAAAAAGGACCTACACATCGCCACCTTCTTCAAGTTGTGTGTCTGTTCAAAGTCAGGAGCATGTACTTCAGTGGTTGTTGTTACTTCAAGTCTGATATTTTTTTTTTGTAAATGCTTTGTTATAAATTAGGCCGTTACTTTTCTCAAGGAATTGTTTCATATTTTTTATGTCGAGGCGGGCCCTTTTATAACCAACTTTACGGTTTCCATATTTTTCCATATTGAAGGTCGTACGGTTGCCTAAAACACAACTAAATGATCGAAAAAAGAGAATATACTTGCACTGACGATTTTGATACAAATATGGTAGTAAATTAATAATATAACAATTATAGCCTATGCATGAGGTCAATAGAGGAGACATCGACCCAAAGAAGTATATCGTCCTCAGTCCATATACTTTTTTAGGTCAATATATCAATGTATCGACCTCATACAAGGGCTATAATCACTGTGTATCATCGCCACCGGAAATTGGGTACTAACGAAGCGGAGAGAAATGGGAAAAAAAAGTAAACAAGGTAAGAATTCATTCAATTTAAAGCATTTCTACTGATTTGACGAGGGTACCGCTTAAGAAATGATTTTCTGATATATAATTCTTTAAATTATTAGGCCGATAAGTACAAAATTATGTCAAGATTTTGTGTTATACTTCAAAACCTGCCACTTAGTACCCGAAAATTTCGAGGTCCATCGTCCTCTGTCGCCCCATTGGCAAGATATTCAACTGTTTTTCATTATTTTTCCAGACACGTTTTTAGATTATGATAGTGTGACATCATATTTACTGAGATTTGTTGTCATAAAGATGTTTTTTGAAGAATATGGATCAAAACATTGTTTGTTTATTGTACGGCGAATTGCAGAACGTTGTACGGCGAATTGCAGAATAACAACTTTTGTCTGTACGGCGTCTTGCAATATATTGTAATTTAAAGATGAAATTAATCGCTGTTTAGAAAATATCAAGTGACGATATTTTGTCCATATTAAAGCTTTACCGGCTTCCAAATATACAAAATAAACTACATATCAAATATTATAAAATATATGCCGTTAATTTCGTTCAGAAGTCGTCGTTGCGTACCTCTATTCGACTTTGTGTTTTTAAAGACAAAAAGGTTTTTTTCAACCATATTATCCTAAATACATTCATATATCGTTATACTACTAACGACTGTTGTCTTATTTGTTGTCCTGGTGAAATTTTGTAAGTTCAATAAAAAAAAAAACGACCATTCATCTTTCCTTGGTGCTTGAAAGAATTTTTTTTTTAATATAAACAGTGGAGATGTAGTATGATTGCAAATAAGATAACTATTCACCAGGATCAAATAAAGTGTATGTAAGCAATTATATGCTATCGTACGGCCTTCAACAACTAAAATTCGTACCTTATAGTCGGCTATAAAAAGCCCCAACATGAAAAATGTGGAGGGATTCAACAAGAAAACTAACGGCCTAACTCATAACAAAACAATGTACGAAAAACAACACATATGATAGCGGTGAACCAACGACAACCACCGAACTACATGTACAGGCTCGTGACTTCGGACAGACACTTTAAGAATGTGCTGGGTAAAATTCATTGTTTATTTTTTTAATTTCTGAAACGAATAATTTGTTGAAAGAAAAATGAAGAAAATACCTTTTTTTTTCATTGAAAATTAGGAGAAATAAATCACGAATTGTGTTTCGAATTAATTTTCTTGTTTCTTATCGAATATAAGATTGTATTTTTTTTTTCAGTAAATTCAATCAATCTTTTTATTTACAGGGATAAAAGAATAAAAGACTGTTGCTAAGGCTGTTTGGCCTAAACTTAAAGGAGTAGATGGAGGGGTAGTGAGAAGGAATGTATTCGTCCGAATTCTTATTGTACTTAAATTTTCATGATTACTATATATGTATAATATTTCTCAGTAAATTTTAATGTGATATTGTGCCAATTAAAATTATATAATTAATACAAGTAAGACTTGCATTTGCTTTAAAAGATATACATGTAGCAGCACGTGATTATTTGTTTTCAAACACACCTTCTCTGTTTTGAACTTATAAATGTATGGATCCCGTCTATCTGTTTGGTTGAATATAAATGTGAATTCATAGTGTTTTAAAATCAACAGTTAGCCCTATTTTTGTGTGTGTGTAAATAATCTAATCTTTAGATAGATGCTAAAATTAAAATCATTTTTCTTAATAAGAAGAAAAAAGTGCAACTAAAGCACGCCTCAATGTAAAAAGGTGTACCCGACTTATTCTTTCACGATAAGAAGTTACCGATTTCGGTATTTTAACAGAACTGTTTGCGAGGGCAAATAAATAAAAGAACGCTTTCAAATCAACATTTAAATTTTCGTGGATTTTTCCAAAAGAATTTATGAGTATGCATCATCAGGAATTAAAAAATATTTCAACCTGTCCTTATCATGCTTATTAGATGTTATTTGATTATATTTCTTTAACTTACAAGTCGAAGATGCTAGCTTTTGTGTATTATATTAATAAGTGTATAGCATTAAAATTACAACCAAAAAAAATTCATTCAAGGTCATCTTTATTCACAAGTAAAAAGTTTATATAAATAGTTTATGCCGTAGCCACAGCGGGATTTGTATCCCTTGTATCGGATTTTTCTTTCATTCTTTCCAAAAATGATTAATATAAGGTTAATATTTTTTTAAATTCAAACAGTGGTAGCCACCGAGCTTGTTCATTTCTTTATTATAATATATTGGCTGTATCTGCCTTTTGCAAATAAGACAATAACATTAATTGAATAAGGAGATGTGGAATGATTTTCAGTGAGAGGATTATCCAACAAAGTCCAAATGAAATGGATTTGACCAACTAAGGGTCATTGTACACTTCACAATGAACAAAACCCATATACCGTATCAAAATTGCCTGATTTATGACAAAATCATGAACAAATGTCAGACAGCAACTTACGACAGCTGCTATATTACATGTTTTTGACCGGGGACAGACACATATAACGTCAGGGGCATGAAAATAGGTCAGTGAAACAGTGACATGCCATTTCGAAAGTTGCAACATTTGCCAGCTTTTATATATGCCGTATTCATATTGTATAAATTGGGTATGTAAAAGATGTAATAGGACTGTGTTCAAGCCTTATATTGTGTATACATCTTTAATGCTGTCAAGCGAATTGTATTTCTATCAAATGCATAATTGGATATTTGAACGTAATACTTTATTTTCTTTAAAAGGACGGCAAATAAATATTTTAAAATTAGCAAGTTGCCATACAGTTGAAAACAAGCTGCCATACAGTAAATTTGTCAACACGAGCAAGTTGCCGTACCCTAGACTTTATTTTTTATGGTCTATATTCTTTAAAAAACATCTTTTTGACAACAAATTTCAGTAAATATGATGCCACACTATCATAATCTAAAAACGTGTCTGGAAAAATAATGAAAAACAGTTGAATATCTTGCCAATGGGGCGACAGAGGACGATGGACCTCGAAATTTTCGGGTACTAAGTGGCAAGTTTTGGAGTATAACACAAAATCTTGACATAATTTTGTACTTATCGGCCTAATAATTTAAAGAATTATATATCAGAAAATCATTTCTTAAGCGGTACCCTCGTCAAATCAGTAGAAATGCTTTAAATTCAATGAATTCTTACCTTGTTTACTTTTTTTTTCATTTCTCTCCGCTTCGTTAGTACCCAATTTCCGGTGGCGATGATACACAGTGATAATTGTACAACATAATATAGACCGAAAACACAACAATCGTGATTCACATTTTTTTTTTAAATCTCAGTAGAAACACATACAAATAAAGTTTGTTTAATAAATGATAAAACATCGGAAATTGTTTAGCCGAGTGTTTATTTAAGTAAAGAAAAATGTAAGTGGGGGTTAAAATATAAACAGACGACGAACAGCAAATAATGGATCCAACATTATTAATGTCAACTACCGCAAGACCACAAGATACCCTTTGAATATATTTACATACTTAAACTATTCTAAGGAATTTATTTCTGCACAAAAACGAATTCAGAAAGTTAACTGTTTAACAGACAACAGACATGCACCAAGTGATGGATACGATTGTGTTTTAAATTGTTGAATTCATATTTTAGTGCAAAATTTGATTGATTGATTGTTGATTGCTTAACGTCCAGTGGCAAACCTTTCATGCATATTATGAACGAAATGTCATTTCAGAAATTGATTTATGGAGTAATAATTATTACAAATGTTAAAATTTTCGTATCATTTGGTAAAACATCAAGACTACTTTGCCTATGTAGATAGAATGGAACCGAAAAAATACATAGTTCGGCTGAAACATGCTCCTTTATATTAGTATTTAGTGCAAGAAAACGTTTGTGAATTGTTTAAGACAGACTGGAAGAATCGGGTTTTCTATGTGCTTTATATCTTGTACCTAATTTGCACGACTTGTCATTCATATTCTTCAGTAGGGGACATTATTCCTACTCTAAACGGACAAGAATACTGCTTAATACCAGATAAGCAATAGTATTTTTTAAATTTCTTTGATTTAATACCAATTTAAATAAAAACCACCGAAATTAATTTGATACTCAATATGTTTCCTTGAATATAAGTATATTCTCATTCGGTCTGAAAATAAAATATGAAATTGATATATAGAGCATTCAGAAATGTGAATGTTATAAAATGTTATTAAATCAGAGAAAGGTATTGAACGCCATTCTAAAACATGAACCTGTATACGTAGGACCTCATGGGACGACACTCTGCCATTTTCAGGTAATATACATGTTGATCTGTAATACCCGGAAATGTCAAGGAATATCACTACCTATATCCTATATAGCTATACAGAATGTACCATGTCAAAGAAATTCGTAAAGCATGACCATTCATGATTTAAGAGGGATCAAGGGGGGGGGGGGGGGGGGGGGGGTAATGATTTAAATTTTGACTACATTGTTTTTCCAAACTTATATCACTAATAAAAATACATCCAGGAACAAAATTCTTTTTGTTATTTCATAGAATACTCCTTAATATGGGCTACAGTGGACAAGCAGTATTTTTAAATTGATTTAATACTTAGTAAAAACAAAATTATTTTGATAGCCAATATGTTTCCATAAAAAATTACATATGCTCATTGGTAAACGGACAGAAAGTCACAGGACATAAAGTCACAAATTTGATAGGACAAAAAGTAACAGGACAAAAAGTCACAAATAATGTGTTGACAATTGTTCGAATATATAAGAGAAAGATCTTACAATATTTCCTAGGATTTTTCAGTATACGAATATGGATAGTAAACTGCACATTGCTAGAAAACAAAGAAATATTGATGCCAACGTTAAAAACGTGAGTAATGTAATTCAAATAGACAGGAAATACGAAAAAAAGATTTAAAAAACAAAAATAAAACAAAATTTTAATCTGCAAACCGAGTCCCTGAGGTAATTTTATAGATTTTAAAAACGAACTTAGTGTGCATTTCTTTCTAACCAAAGTTTGGTAAACGTTGTGTGCCGTTTGTTATAGTTTGTTAAACGTTACAAAAGTAGAAACAAATGCATCGTTTAATAGAGGTTTCTCAACATCTTACGAACGGACGAAACTCTACGAACGTATCGTTAAGGAGCAGTAATTTTGTTATAATAAAATCCACGATAAATATCTACCGATAGTGCAGTGTGTTTAAGGAAAACAGTTAACAGTTGCATAGTCTTTTTGCCACCTTGCATTTTATTTTTGTGGTTAAACATCGGTGTTCCAATTTATTTTCTTTTGTTGAATGTTACGTATTCTTACGTTGGTTTTCGTTTGTTTACATGTCGAATATATGCGTTCGATTTATCTCCCTTGTCCATTTAAACAGAACATTGTCAGTTTGTAATGCAGTTAAAAAAAATCCCCGCGTCTTGTTTGCATTTCATTTGATTGATGGTTGGGTGTTTAGCGTTCTGTTGCAAGTATTCCATGCTTGTCACGACGAGATTAGCGGTTTGTTAAAGGATTGAAAAGTGATTGATCATGATATGACACGAGTTTAGTATTTTTCATTTATTATATCCTGGCATAGGCGGATCCAGGGGTAGGGGGCCCACCTTTTGTGGGAAAAATTTGTTGATTATATAGGGAATCACTGTAGCATGACTGGAGGGGGCCCCCTCGTAGGTCAGTCAGTGGGCCCCCCTTATGAAAAGTTCTGGATCCGCCACTGTATTCACACATTCTTTATAAATATGGAACGAATAAAGGAGAGTGAGTTTGGGTAAATTCTGTCTCCTAGAATAAAGCACTCAACAGGAAAGTCTCAATGTGCACTAGGTCCAATTGGTCCGACTTGCTGTTAAATCATTTTTATGGAATAAGTTACAGAAATATAAAGGTGCACTCGATCAATCGTAAAGTTATAAAGTTTTGTGTATTCTTGTTGAAAGTATGAGTGCTACAACACTAACAAAACTGATAGTTACATAGTTTTTAAAAGGTACATTTTCTGTAAATTCTATAATAAAAACCGAAGAAAAACATATACAGCATTCCATATAAACTCCACGAAAGCAAAAAAAAAAAACCCACAAAATAATTATATATATATACTAACAAAGAAAATAAGAGCTGCAATGAAAACAAAACAAACCAAAAAACCTAAATACATTACAGAACATCTTTTTAAAGTGTTATCTTTTTTTTTTTTGCTTTTTTTCAAATATTTACTTCAATGTTTCCCTTTAGTTATCTTCTTGACTTTATCAGTTTAGCTAGAATATAAATCAGTTATAATCATTTAAAGTCAAGAAGTGATCATTTGGATTTTAGAGTTGGGGCAACGAAGTTACCCCGGATCCGAGGATGTTTTTTTTCAAATTATAAAAACTAGAGGCGTTCACGCGTAGATTAGTTTTAGCTCATGTTTGCGCCATAATTTATTGATCAATTAGATTTTCAACTGTTTTGATTAAACCGTAAATTGTATATCATTACGACTCAAAATGGTCTTACAAATTCCAAAATGTATATATTTTTTATGTAAAAGAAATTTCAAGGGGAAGAAGATCACAACCGATAGTCCAAAATTATTGAAAAAAATTACTGCTCCCTCTTTTTTCGTTCCGGCAAGTTACGTCAAGTTAGGTCAATTTTCGTTCGTTCGTAAGATGTTGAGAAACCTCTAATCAGTGTTTACTGACCCTGTTTGAACTGTGAAAACGCATGCACATGTTGTTGGTATTTGAACTTATTACGCGGGGAAAATAGCCTCCGTATAAGATGTTATAGACACAGAGGACATCGCTCCTCTATGCATATTTAATTTTTTTGGCAGTTCTTCATCTTCATCAGATAAATGTATGAAGATAGTGATGATAAGCCTTTTTATTGAAGATAACAGAAATGAAAGAAAGGATGGTAATACCTAAATTTTAGTAATTTTAGACATTGTTTTGAGTTATGACAAGCAAGAACATACATCTTTTTTAGTGCGAAAAATATGTTTAGGTATTGATTAAATGTTTAAGTTAGAAAGAAATTC